TCAATGACAAGCATCGGCAGGTAATCTGGAAAACGAGAGTAGCAGGGATGATGAAAATAGATTATCGAAGATATGGGAAAAGCAAGATTCGCGTCATCTGGTCGCAACCCGGGGTGAGTGAAGAGCAAATTTGTACGGCACTGAAGGACGCCACGGAACCTGGAAAGACGCACCATCTTTATGTTGGGAATAAAACGGTATGGGATAAAATAAAGCGGATGTGGAGATCCGAGCGAATTGGTGTGGACAGAACACTCATCCGTTGCAAGTACGCAGTGGAAGCTATACAGGATGAGGAACAGCAACAGGCAGTCACATTAGCTTATCACCAGGGGAAAACCAACCACCGAGGCGTGAACGAGACACTGCAGGCATTACGTCGAAAGTATTTCTGGTGGGGCATGAAAAAATCCATCCAAGAGGTCATAGGGAAATGCGAGGTGTGTATGCGCACGAAATATGATCGACACCCCCCTAGAGGGATTCAGGAAGAGACACCGACGGGTAATATGGCACTACAGGACCTCCAGATTGATACATTTACCTGGAGAGGGTTCAAGTGGGTCACGGTCATCGACGTCTTTAGCAAGGTAGCTATGGCACACCAGGTCATGGACAAGTCGGCCAACGCAGTTGCGGAAGCCCTACAAACCTGGGTGCAGTTCTACGGGGTCCCCGAGAGGATCACATCGGACGGGGGTAGGGTGTTTGACAATGCTGCGATTAGGGAGGAGGTGAAACGACTAGGGATTCGTTGGCATTATAACACCCCGGGACATCCTAAGGGTAGAGGCGGCATTGAGCGGTTGCACAGCACGCTGAGTGACCACATCCGGGTGTATCAGGGGGAAAAAGGGTTGGAGCCGGATGTTGCAATGAAGAAAGCGGTAACAGCTTACAACCACTCGATTCACTCCGTCACGGGATTTTCGCCCGTGGAAGTACTATTCGGGATTCGCAGGCCAAGGCGAGATTGTGGGGAAACAACGGTTAATGAACCATTAGTCGAACAAATCCAGAACAATAGGGTGGAGGTGGAAAAGACGTGGGGAAGAGTAACGGCGAAAATTAAGCGGGAAAAGGAGAAGCGGGTAGAGAGGCAGAATGTTCGCGTACGTGACCAAATGGGTGATCTAAAGATCGGGACAATAGTGTACCGTAGAGTAGGGACCAACAGAGGGAAACAATTGTTACGATACGAGGGTCCATTCAGAGTGATTGCTATTAGGGAGCATAATCTACTAACGATCGAAAGCGTTAATGAACCTAGAAAGAGGAGAACGGTTCACATTGAACAATTGAAGCTCCCAATGATAGAACCGGAACAAAAACTAATGGATTCGTAGTACCCTCACCACGGTTTATAACAAATATGTTTTTTTTTGGTTGTCTAAGCAAAAATATGGTGTATTTTGTTTTTATGTGTAAATAGAATCATAGCAATACAGTAGAGGAAAGTGTATTATTTTTTTTTCTTCTCTGTTTTTTTTTATGGGTATTAAGAGTTCTGTTTTTGGAAGCAAGTGTTGTGTTTAGTTCTGTTTTTTTTATTTCTTTGTATTATTGTATGTCTCGAGTGAGTTTTACTTTATTTCAACTTTATACTTGTAAAAACAATTGTAAGGTGTTAAGACTGATAATCGTTAGCTCCGATCTAGGAATATCTAAGTTTCCGAAAAATCCTATTCGTAAACTGGTGGGGGGGAGATAAAGACCGGAGACCGGCGATATCAGCCTTAATGCCGTCCTGAATGTAAATAAACATATGAAATGTATATAAGGAGGATTACTAAAGGAATAAATCAGTATCTTTTCTGAAACCGTGAGTGTTGCATTTCAAGCCCTTTCCTTTCTTTTTTTTTATTGTTAGAGTCCGCCGACGCTTAACTTATATATATATATATAGGGAAAGTGCAATAGAAAATTTTGCTATTGACATTATTGAGATATATTTTACAATTGTATAATTTGTTAGGGAATTTTGCATAGCTGATATTGGAGTAATGTTTCTGTATTCATATTATATTCTCATATTTTTTTACATATTTGTGAGAATATAATTGCATATATACTTGCATATTTAGCTTTTTAGTTTACATAAAAATCTAAACCCAACTTTTATATCTAAAGAACTAATAATCATAAAATAATATCTAATAAAAAATGATATTAATAATTATCTATATCATTATAAACAACAAAGATAATGTTCCTGTGAAAATCTCAATTGTTCAAGTGTTGTTAAAGGCACTAATACAAAGTTCAATAAAAATCCCAAAGGTCAATAATATTTTTTTTATACAAACATTGTTTTTCCCATAGCCCACTTGATTCAACTAAACATGACTTCACACAAATTCTGCAATGTCTTTTCAAATGTCAATGATTTTTTCACTAATATGGATTAATAAGAGATAACAAATATTTTGCTTAACATGATATTTAAGATATCCCAGAAGTACTTTTCATCTTACATCCAGAAGTACTTACATCATTCAAGAACAAGAAAATAATTATTTATAAAAATAAATTATTAAAGTTACGTTGAAAGCCTCAGAACTGTGATGTTCTTAAGTAAAGTACAAAATATTATACACTTTTTCATTATTCAATTATTAAAAACTATTTACTTCTAAGATTTATCTTGTTAAAGATCAGCTGAAATGTGCAAATATAATAGTATAGGAAGATGCATAATTTTATTATTTAACGTTTTGGATTATTTTAGAAATATTCTAATGTGTCAACATATTAAAACACAACAGATAAACTTAATCTATCAACTTCATGCTATCTTCTTTTTATATTATTTTTTTGTTATATTGATCCATTATTTCATTCTTTATGTTTAATTTTTCTTTATAATGGTTATGCAATGGACCTCATTTCAGATAAATAGAATTGGTTAAGAAGAAGATTATGGCATCTCAAAAAATTACAATTGTTTGATAATATACTCTTTGATATAAACTGAACCCAAAAAGTTTTTGAACGCCCATCCTCCATTTTATTACATTATTTTTACTTTCCTACCTCTACTAGGTAAAGTTTTACGATCGGGTCAAATTTTCGATTTTCGGTATTCAAATGATCTGTACGTTTTAGAGCTCTTCCAGTTCGAAAAACACTTTTTCTAAAATCGAAAGCTAAAACAAAGGATATTGTAAAAATATGTTAAATCGATGACATAAAGTGACACTTCCAATAAACCGATTTTGACAAAAAGGTTGATGTAATATCCCAGGCATATAAAATCTTTAAATATGCAATTTCACTTTCGTAAGACTTCGTTTTTGAGCTAGCCTGTTAACACACACACATTCCATTTTACAGGACTTGGTTATTTTTACTCAGAGGGATCTCAAAACGTATATTTTCTATGAAAACTGAAATTCAAAAATTTTCACGATAGCAATAATTTCCTTTACTATATATTACATATGCACGTAAGTGAAAGTAAAACTGAAAATTTAATGTCTCTATCAAATCTAGATTAGTTTGTTTTCTGAAACAGAAGTGTAAATCCAAAACAAACAAAGTATCTGGTTCTTGCATCACACAACTTTCACTTGCCACTCTACTTTGAATAGAAATTGTTTTTTGGCGAGCTATTACAAAAAGTCTTTGAAGTATATTATTAATTGAGCTAAAAGAGACTTAAAAGTACATATATTTATCTCCAATCTATATATAAGTAAAATCACTATTATAAATGTGGATACACTATGATGGATGGGCACAAGATCCCATGCTCAGTTTAGCAATCTGTGGTGGGTGAATAGTCCGGTAAAGTCTAAACTGAAAAGCTTCTATTGGAGGTTTGAAATATTCCTCTTGAGCGTGCACACCGAGCGGAAGTCGAAAGTAGCGATGACATTTTTATTTATACATATGTTTTAAGAGATATTACAATCTGTCTCTATTAAGGACATTTTTAATAGGATTCAGACAACACCTTGACCCTCCATTTACAACAAATACAATAAATATTACAGAAAAATAATAATACTTAAAGTAAATGCACCCATATAAACAAAAAAATAAACTAATCAAAATAACAACTCGTCCGTCATACAGACCCCTTTTTATCAAATTATTAACATCCGTATGAAACTTCGTAAATAGCTCCATGTCATCGCAACCTACAAATATTTTATTTACGAAAATTCTCGGAATTGGAGCGTTTTCAATCTGGAGGTCGGCAAACTTTGTCCATTTAATTAGGTACTAAAAACTCGTAAATACACATTTGCTTTCCACTTGGATCGTAAGATCGTTTTTCCTACATAATCTCGTTATTTTGAAAATTTAGGGATATAGGTCACGCCAAACGGCTCAGTATTTTTGAAGACCACCTTTTTCCTCAACTTTGCGCTCAACTTATCTTACGATTCAAGGAGAAAGCAAATGGTATTTACGAGTTTTTATTACTTAATTAAACGGGCAAAGTTTGCCGACATCCAGATTGAGAACGCCACAATTTCGAGAATTTTCGTAAATAAAATATTTGTAGGTTACGATGGCATGAAGCTAATTACGAAGTTATGTTATTTTATCAAATTATGTTAATAATTAGATAAAAAGGAGTCTTTACCACAGACTGTAATTCATGAAATTAAAGGTAAATATTGCCCCGACTTTCAATGTAAAGTTTGCCGATTTTATAGTTAAATGTTTGCCATATGTATAGTTACACCATAAGGTAGATGCGGAACTAGTTTGTTAAAGTGAACAAAGGTCTATCTGTAAGATCTGTGAAGTTATGATAAGAGTAAATAAACAATCCATTAAACACATTTTTCGAGTAGTGTTAATTGCTTCAACAAATAGAGATAAGATTTTTATAAAAGTAACTTTGCCAATATACCATTTCAGTTTACGATTCCTTCTTGTAAGTTTAATAGTGTTAATTGAATCTCTTTATAAAATTTAAAATTTTGGTGGTGCATCGGAATCCAACAATCGTCCAGGAAAATTTAAATTTTAAGTTTCCAACCACAATGAGTCAAGACAGTGCAGCTTCAGATCCAGTAGATTTTAAATCTACAGCTGTTTTTCGGCTCCTCGAGAAAGCTATGCAGGAAGATGACAAAGGATTAGCAGTAACTCTGAAAGGTATATACTGCTTCAAGGTTAAAAATGAAGACGGCAAAGACGGAATCTGGATTTTAGATATGAGAGATGGAAAAGGTAAAGTTAAGTTCAATGGAAAAGAAAAACCGGATGTTACATTAGTGATGAAAGATGCGGATGTTGTAGAATTGATGATGGGTAAACTTAACCCACAGAAAGCATTTTTTCAAGGAAAAGTGAAAATTAATGGGAACATGGGTTTGGCAATGAAGCTGTCAGTGTTACAGGAACAAGCAAGCAAGAAGATGGAGGAACTTAAAGCCAAACTTTGAAAAATAGGCCATTTGGTGAATGTTAAGTGCATATTTATTTTAATTTAACTATTTATTGTTTAATAAAAACATTTTGGTTCATTATTTTCAATAATGAATGAATCATTGTAATCGAACAAAAAATTCAAAAAGTGAACTAGCTCTCAAAATTTGAGATTTTACGTTTCAGGATACGTAGAATTCGAAAAACGAATACAATTTTTTTCTCCGAAACTACTAGACTGATTTTTTTTTAAATTTGGATTTAAAATCAGAGGTCACCCGAGGATGATCCTCCTTCATCGACATTACTATTACCATTTACTTTCAAAATGGCGGCCGAAAACATGTTTTTTAAGGTTTAATTTTTTATATAGTGATTTTTAATTTTTATTTTTTATCTGTTGTAATTTGTAAAACATGAATATTTAATTTATGCAAGTATGAAACAGATTCTTAAATTAATTAACACAATAATGTATAAGTCAATAGTTAACATTAATTTTACTTGTGGTTTTACGACGGAGTTCAACTAGGCTACGCACTACGTGTGTACGTAGACGTATACACAGAATGTTGAAATTAAAAAAAAAATTGTTAAATGTATATTTAAATCCATATATGTATATATTATTTATCTTAATGTGTGAATAAATAAAACAGAGATAATTTTTTTTTTTGCTATTTTGTGTATTTTTTGTCACATTGCTTTCCCAGAAAAAGATATAACTCTATCTCTTAGAAAAAAGAAAAAAGTTAGCTCCAAAATCTCGTTATATTGTCTAGATGTAATATTTTTTACTAAATATACTACTCTAATGTGTCGAAGCATTTGAGGAACTCTATCAAAAATTATATTTTTTCACAGAATTTTGAATGATTTGTTGTTGTTTTTTTTCAGTTGAGTGAAAACTAGAAAAAAAGGAGCTAATTTTTATTTGCAGCATACACTTTAGTTTTTAAAAACATGCACGTAAATTTTTTTTTTAATCTATTGCCATCCTTCCTGCCTCTCGGAAATATGAACCTTTGGACTAAGTATCGCATGCCACTATACCGTTGTTTCTCATAAATCTCCATTCTTCCAATTTGCTTTCCTACTCCTTTTTATTGAAGCAGATTAAAGTCTCTTCCCCCGGACATGATAGCATCATATTACGTTTAGTTGTTCTTACTTGCTTACTAGCTGAGGGAATTCGTACTCCGTGATGATGAAGAGTTCAGTTCCCCTCAGTAGTTTGGTCTTAATCACAGGCGGATCTACGGGGGGGGGCCTTTCGGGCTGAAGCCCTCCCCCCAAAATGGTAAAAGATAACCATGTTTTACAGAAAAAAAATATTATTAAAATATTGTTGTTTTTGTAATTACATTTAATAGGACTTCAAGAACCAATTAAACGCCGTTTCATATAGGTAGTTAATTTCTTTCTTCTTTTTTTTCTAATTAATTATTATTATACGTATATGAAAAAAAAACTTTCGGGCTGAAGCCCTCCCCCAAAATTAAATCCTGGATCCGCTAGTGGTCCTAATTGTCAAAAAAGCGGTTCTGGTAGTTGCGTCATGCCCAGGAGATTATGGAACTCCATAATAGGGTAATAGTGGTTGATAGTCTTCTGGAAGACATGAAGCTTGGCTCGAAACCACCTATACCCCATGAGACTTGTGATTTGTGACACCCGATAATTAGAGAGTACCCATTTGGCTTCCAACCGTGAACGAACATTAGAGATAAAAAGTTGCTTGACCTAAAAGCTCAATCTAATTCACCATCCACAAAAATGTGCAAAGCGCGCCTTAAGAAGTTTTCATCCAAAAAGTTAGACGTATTATTTTGTATAGCTTCTAAAATCCTTTACTCCTCAGCCTTCCTTCATCCTCTTTACTATACCTCATATATGGGATTGATCACCTTGGTCCTCAGGACAAATCACACTTTAATTTACAGCCTTGTAATCACTCTCTCCAGGAGACCTAGATTCATAATTTTGATGTCAATTGTTCAAATATGTATAAGGTGTTATTTGTAATAGACATAATAAATTTTATTTATTTATTTATACATGATATTTATAACTGTATTACAATAAAAATACAACTAGTAAATGTGTACACAGGAATTTTGTTATGAATAAAAGTTCTATTTCTAAAGTTGCCTCTGCTTGCGATTCGTTAATTGGTGGTAATAACTTTTCTATTGCCTTACTTTGCTTTGTAGCTTCCTTTCCGATTGTAGTCACTTTTAGAGTTGCTCCATCATGCGATTAGTCTCAGAGAAATATATATGGAAACAGTTGATAATCGATATTGGATTATGATTATGAAATTATGTAGAGAGTATAGTCAGACTGGTTTTACAATGTGAAAATAAATAAAAATCTTATCGCTACTCCAAATCGACATATCGAAATTACAAGGATATATTTTACATTAATTGCAAACCATCATCCTACCTGCTTCACGCAGGGAAAGATCATGAGACAATGGAAATTGAGGAATGAAACTCCAAACGTGACCATAGCCCTGAGAATTTGACGGCAGAACTATCTCCTGATAAAAACCTTTTATCGCGGTGATGAGCAAGATGAGGGCCTTGGAACAGCTGTCGTGTGAATAATGAATAAAACGAATAAATAATGAGACACGGGAGGGCAGATCAAAGCCGGGCTATCTTTAATGCAGAGCGATGTCTTCAGGAGCGTTGGGAGCAGGCCGTAGTATTGCCCCCTTAACCGTCCATCGTCATCAATTCCAGCGAGTCTGGCGTAGCTATGTCCAATCCAACCATTTTCCCCAACATTAATAATGCAATGGTTTTAATACTGAATTTTCTTAAGAACCGATCAGGATGTAATAGTTTTGGGGTCATGATGCCATTCACCATTTCCGTCTCTTCTTCAGCCTGCTTCGAAAAGGTGGCATAAGGTGTAAGGTAAGATTGCTAATAATTTTATGTCCGTGTTATATATATATAATATATATATATATTATATATATATATATATGGAGAGAGAGAGAGAGAGAGAGAGAGAGAGATTAGAAAAAAGTTATTCTTTTTGGAATAGTATTGCAGTGTATATTAGTATAATATTAAGCAAATGAGGTCGGATTATTTTACGCACAAATTCTGAAATTAAATCGAGAGCGGCGTAGCTCAGTGTGTAAACACTTACTTTTTTGTTTGACCTCCCCTTCCTTGCTTTTTATGTTATACGGGGATTTCCCGGACCAGGGAGTGAGGTCGGAGATTTAATGCCAGAGTTAAAAGGCTCTCTTGGTACCGGGACGGTAACTCTGTATTATTTTAATCACATTATTTTATACACGGATCGCCTGGAAACGCGCTGTGCATTAGTCCGCTCGGACACCCCGCATCTCATGGTGAGCTCTTACTTCCAGAGCTCAAGGCCTGGGGCCCACCCACCCTCTCTGAAGCGGGTACTCTTAATTAAATAATTAGTTAAGGGGAAAATTCTGGTAGTTGAACGTGATATCGGCCCAATCACCTCCGTGCACAACCGTTGGCTTTGTAACTAACTGTACTTCCTAACGCAGTACTGAACCCAAGATCCTTTAGGGATTGTACTGATACAACATTTTATTTTATTAAATATAATGTATAAATGTTTTTTTAACTCATCTTTTTTTTTCTACCTAACAAAAAATATTGAATTGAAATATATAAAGATTATAGCGTTCTAAAATCACTGATAAGTAATCCTCAAATTAGGATAAGATGATTAAAATAGGACGACCTTTATTCATACCGTGCACAACGCGTAAGCTTGTGGTTTTAATATTTGAATTTTGTAAACAATTATCAATCAATGTTTTTTGTCTATGAGATTAGAAACACCACAATCCTATCTCGATACAAGTTAACTGTCTAAAATCGAATGTCTTATTTATTTTCTTAATAATTCAATACGTGTTATAAATATCAGAGAAGATAATTTCAATTTGTGTAAAAAATTACTGACAAAAAGATTAATGGCTTTCTTTCCAATGAGGTATAGCAGCTCAGAAAAAAGAAGTTTTGTAAATCACATTTGTTTACTTTTTTTGTTACTCCTATAATTCTGTATCTCCAAAAATATATGTTGTTTTTTTTTGTTTTTTTTTTTTTTTTGCTTGCAGATGAAACAAAATACCTTGAGTCATTAGGTTTATGAATAGTGAAAAAAAAACACAGGTAGTTGCGTCGATTTCAAAGTAACTCAAAATTCGTGTAAATGATAAAACAAGTTTATATTTGTTTTCAGCATTCTGAAAATCCCTTTGATACCAGTTGAGTGATTTTTCTGCTCTCCATTCCTATGCGCATGGATGAACAATAACAGAGTAGGTAATATTAAACATTAGATCTTTTGGTATTGCGTTTTTAATTACATTTGTATATGAAATTGCTTACAATAGAGTTTCTCCAAATTGACGGCGGACCATACATTAGGGAATTAAGTCCTTTATTTTTTCTGATATAAGGATATTAAGTGGTCTTTTGGTCAGTTTAGCTAAATTTCCAAAAATGACTTTTTTATTATTTTTATTTTAGCATCAATACAACTTTTAAGTTTGGAGAAAACTTTTAAGCTGTCCTGCTAATTAATAGGCGTTTAATCAGATTGTGAAAGGGTAGTTTGCCAAACCTAGGCCGGTAAATCACTAGCCTTGAAAGCTTATTAGAGCCACAACTAGAGAGTTTGCTCAACACTATCCTGCTCCAACTTAGCCGTTGACTTGACCTAAAGCTTATAACCCGCCAACGCTGTACGGTCCGCTACCGAACCCAAGATTTAACCGACTCTAATTGTATAATTTTATTGAATAAGAAAAGACTCTCAGTTTGAAGTTTTAGACAAATATAAATTTTGTTTAATAGACCCAAAAATAAAATAATAAATAAATCGTCATTTCGACAGTGGAATGTCTATATTTGAAAGAGTTGACCATTAAATAACCGATACGGTATTTTTTTTTTTTTTGTTTATTGGCTTATAAACAGCGTAGTCTGGCCCAATAAAT